GGAAGGCTCCTCTCTAGGGCTGAGAACGCTTCCCTACGGGGCCCGGCCCCCCCCCCCAGCTCCGGGCTCTCACCGTGCCGCAGGCTCGCACGTCGTGCAGGCGGCCCCACTCCTCCTCGTGGCTGTCCACCATCATGGCGCTGTCGTCCTCCAGCGCAGCGCGGAGGTGCAGCCGAACCTCCTCCCCCAGCGAGTGCAGCCCCACGGCCGGGAAAAGCCCCTCGGGGGACAGCGGCATGGCCGAGCAGCCCACCTGGGGGGGGGGGGCACGGCGCTGGGGGTCAGGAAGGATGGGGGGAAGGGACGGAGGGGCGGGGACGGGGTCGCGGGGAAGGGGACGTGGCGGGGATGGAGAACAGCGCCGGAGGTCCGGGAAGCGGCCAAAGACGGGGCTCTGGGGGCGCAGGGGGGGCTCTCACCCTTTTCCCGTTCTTGGTGAAGAAGACCTGCGCCGTCTGCACCTCGAAGGAGACGCGCTCGATGCCGCAGCCGATGCGATCGCCGGAGCTGCACTTGGTGCCGAACTGCCGCCCCTTGGCGCGGCCACTGTACAACCTTGGGGGGGGGGGCCCGGGGGGGGGCCCCACGATAGCAAGGGGTCCCTGCACCCCCCCCCCTCCCCACCTCCCAGCTCACTCACTTGCCGTCATCGGCGTGGAACGCCACCGAGCCGGGCAGCCAGCCGGGGGGGTGCTCCAGGCTGTAGTGCTGCGGCACCAACCCCACCGCGATGGCGCCCCGCACCCCGCTGTCCACGATGGACACCTGTGGGGAAACGGGGACGCTGCGACCCAGCGGGACGAGGAGACACCGCGAGGTGGGGACGGCAGGGGGCCAGGAGCGAAGGGGACAAAGGGATGAGGACACCTGGTGGTGATGGGGACCCTAAATGGCGATAAGGACGGGGACACCAAGGGGGGAGCCCCGGTGACACCAGGCATCCCAACCAAGGTTGGGGCCGGCAGTGAAGACGGGGATCCCGCGACAACGGGGATCTGAAACGAGGACGGGGTCCCAAAAGGGCTGCGAACCCCCGGTGACAACGGAGATCCCAGATGAGGACAGGGACCCCCAGCGGCCCCTCCTCACCTCAAAGTAGTTGTTGTCTCGAGTCAGCGGCCGCGGCGCCACATAGCAGCCCACCTCACCCGAGTCCCCGTGGTAGCTGGACAGACGGACACAGACACACGGACAGCCCCGCGTCACTTCGGGTCACCTCGCAGCCCCCCCCCCCCCCCCCCCCGGACCCCGGACCCCCCCCCACCTGAGCGTGTCCCCGTCCACCAGCACGTGTTTGCTGCGCTCCTGGTAGCGCACGGCGCGAACCTCCCGGATCTCCCGGATCCGCCGCCGCCAGCTCAGGAAGCGGTAATGCAGGCGCAGATCATCCATGGCGCCCGCCCACCTGCGGGGCAGCGCGTGAGCCCCCCCCC